GGGAAGCGCGGGTAGCGAGCCCGCATTCACGGCGGTCAGCCTCAACGTCAGCAGCTGGGGCCCCTTCGCGACCATCCCTGGCGAGCAGCTGGGCCCCCAGTAGCAGGTGGTCGCCGACGCGCGCATGGGAGACGCGATCTGCGCCCAGGAACGCCACCTCAACGGCTACCGAGTTGTCGAGCAGGAGCAGTGGCGCAGGCAGGTCGGCTGGAACGCGGCGCTGAACCCAGGCGTGAGCTCCGTGGGGGCATCGCAACAGCGCGCGGTGAGCGGCGGCACTGGAGTCGCAGCGCGCCCCACGCCCCACCAGCGGCATGTGCGACCCAGGCGATCAGGGCCGCGAGGCCAGCTGCCATGTCTCTGACAGAAGGGCCACGGTAGCCCATGTCAATGGAGCGATACCCGGCGGATTCTTGCTGGGCTCCTCTTATCTGGACAACGACGACTTCGGCGAGACCAGCCAGTCCGTACTGCAGGGGGTCGGCGCCCTCTTCAAGCGCACAGGGAAGACGTGGGTCATCGCAGGCGACCTGGAACGTGGAGCCCGAGCGCATCCTTCAACGCGCGGGGCATTGGCTCTGCAAAGTCGGCGGTCACGTCGTTGACACGGGCGCGGGCGCCTGCAAGCACTCCCCGACCAAGGGGCCCTCGGAGCTAGACTGGTTCATTATCAGCTCCGATATGTTCGACCGAGTCCTCGCCTGCAAGCGCCTGGGCATGGCCGCCCACGGGTGCGCCAAACCTTGCCGCCCACATGCGGCAGCGCAGCTCAGCCTCACCTGCAACGGTGACATGGGCCAATCGTTCAGGGCCAAGGGGCCGATGGCGTTCCCCAAGGCCCGCCCCTTCCGGCCCATGGTGGAGATGCGCTGGGAGCACAACGCTGTTCGGGCGCAGATTGACATGACCGGCACCTTGCAGGACATGGAGGAGGCCTACCAGGGGCTCTGCGAGGGCGTAGAGGAGGAGCTCGTCTGGGCGTGCCAGATCGACCGCGGCGACGCCGACTTCTATCGGGGACGGGGGGCCCGCCGAAGTTCGCGCTCGGCCCCCAGGCGAAGGCGCGCCCCATCGAGGGCCCCAAGGCCAGCTTCAAGGGGGAGAAGCTCACGCACCTGAGCGACTACTTCACACAGGCGAGGCCTCTCACAGGCGGAACTGAAGCCGATGACGGGGGGCCCGCGTTCGAGGGGCGCCTTAAGCCGGACCCCGAGCGCCGCGAGGCCGAGCGCATGCAGGCCAGGGCCATCAAGCGCTACAAGCGCACGTTGGGGCGGCGAGCGCGCAGCTGGGTCTCGAACCCTAGCAGCCCCAACCACTACGACGACGAGGCCGAGTGGATGGAGAAACGTGGCCTGTGGCGCGTCGCTTTGCAGAGGGGCGGCCGTTGGCGTCGTCGCCACGGTGCCCTCGCGGGCGCATTCCACGCGGCACGGCGCGGCACCTAGCGCGGCAGCGCCCTGTCACCGCGCTCGGCCGCGCCGAGTGGGAGGCCAATGACGACGCAGACGAGAGGAGGGCGCCCAACAACATCCACTTCGGGACCCTCGTCGACATGGCCAACGCCGACGCTGCGGAGGACCCGCTTTGGTCGAGGACCTGGCGCCCGAGCATAGGCGTTCACTCCCTCTGCCCACGGAGGAGCGCCTGGCGCGCAAGGGAGGGAGGGCGCGCCGATCTCGCGGGCCAACCACTGGTTGGGGGCATCTTCACCGACGGCAGCGTCCTGGACCCCAGCCTGGCCTCCGCAAGGGGTGGCTGGGCTGCCGTCGCCATGAGCAGCGACGCGGAAGGCCCTCAGCATCTTCGGCCCGCCCCCTCGGCCATGCCCACAAGAGCCGGGGGCCGCGGAGCCGGCAGCTGTCCTCAAGGGGCTACAGGACTGCCTCCCGCCAGTCAGGATCTTCACCGACTGCCAGCTGCTAGCGGGTGGCTTCGCAGCGGGCATGGCGCGGTGCCTCCAGCGGCAGCGGCCCCATCGAGAACTACGGGTTCGCTCGTGGCGAGCGTTCGAGGACATCGGTCTCGACAACGTCACGATCCACAAGGTGAAGGCCCACGCGACGCTGGCGGACGCACAGGCAGAGCGCATCACAGCCTGGCAGCGCAGGGGCGACCACAGTGCGGACGCTCGCGCCATTCAGGGCGCTGAGATGCACCCCACGGACGACGCGGTCCGCGCGCGCAACCTGCGCCAGGACCGCCTCGTCAGGGAGGTCTTCCGCTGGTTGGGCGCCGCCATGCAGGAGGGCGACGCGGAGCTGACCGCCCTGGACGGCCACGAGGGGCCAGGCATGGCGGCGGTGCGGTGCGACTGGCACGGCTGCAAGCTGCGCTGGAGGAGTCACTGCTGCGTTCGCGACTGCGCGCGGAGGACATGCGGCATGCACGGGACATGGATCGAGGTCGGCAGCGACACGCTCTGGGCCTGACAGGAATGCGCCGGTCGGGGCGAGGCGATCTCAGGCTCGTGGCTTTCGGGCTCAGAGGGAGCCTCGGG